TAATTAATAATCGCAATTACAATTTCAAGGGAATAATCGACAATTATGATTTTTGTCATAATCGTGCAGCCCTATGATCAATACATCCTATTTAAAGGTGCAATGTGTAATATTTACATCGATCTATTGACAGAAATGCAATATAATGTACATAACTATGTTTTCAGAGGTGTATAAAGACCTTACGTAATGAACCGTTATGTTTTTATTACCTTAGATTGAGCAATTTATATCTACATACACCGCGGGTCCCCTTACATGGAAGTCGCCACCATGTTTCTACAGTAGCCCTAAACAGACAAACTGCTCTACACAGCGCGTTTCGTCACTTTGTTGTTCTTGCGAATAAAACACTGACACAATGATGAACAAGTACATTAATATTCGCAATAACATCGATTTATTAAATGATTAAGTAAATATAATTCCTTAATTTACCTTTGTAAGGAAATCTCATTGCTCTCTGCTGTCTTTACCGACAACATCTTAGCCCAGTATCGGCCACCGTAGCTTCTCTAAAGGGAGGGGTGAGCGGGGGACTGAGCCGTTGGTTGCGATTCGCAACTCACCGCTAGATGCCGTTAAAATTTACACACTCCACCTTTAAGACTGGTTTTGTGCTCCAGGGTCACATATGTTATATATGTTTAGTTTAATGTTGTTGAACAATAGCATACAGTGTCACAAAATGCAAATAATATAATTTACAAAGAGGCGCAAAAAATGTCTACCAATGAAAATTAATTCATTAGTCTAGAGTGATGTATTGATATATTTGATCCATTTCCCTGCATAATAAAAGGCTGTTTGCATTTGTGTCATTTTTCACGTGTAATGCAGCACCTCGTGGAAAAAGAGGATGGAAAACATTTTATGCTGTTCTTAAGGGACTCATCCTTTACCTGCAGAAAGTGAGTCTTTTTCTTTCTTTGTATGTTATGTATGTTATATATATATAAACCGTTTGATGGTAGTATACTGTATGTAATGAGTAGAATGGCAGTATGATTAATAAATCAGTAATTATGAGAAGGCATGCATGTTTTGAGTAATAACTGGATAATTGTGTTGTCAGGGTGAGTATCAGCCAGATAAACAGTTATCGGATGAGGATTTGAAGAATGCGGTGTCTATTCATCATTCCCTGGCCATCAGAGCCACAGACTACAGCAAACGGCCAAACGTGTTTTACCTCCGGACCGCTGACTGGAGAGTCTACCTCTTTCAGGCCCCGTGAGTTCACACACCGAAAACATGCCACAGTCATCAGAATGTAATATTTCAACTTATTATAGAATGATTTTCCATTTTCATTTGATGCCATGAAGCTTATTTTTCATGGGCTTCTCTCTGACCTCCTGTCATCTAGAGACATCACAATAAATTCACCATCCAATAAAATCAAGTCTCGTCCTACATTTTATGATGTTCTAGTTGAATATTCTGCTTAATATGGAAATACATTGAGATAATATTGTTTTTATTCATATTTTTAATTTTAATTTTTATATTTTGTATTTTCATTTTAATTTAGGTTAAAGTTTTAGTCATTTTGTTGTAAGATTTTTTTTTAATCTATTTATGTCTACATAGATTTTATTTTTTATAATTCAGTTTATTTTAATTTTAGTTAGTTTTAGTCATTTTGTTGTCTGTTTTTATAATTTTTTATCTTTTTATGTCTACATATTTTATTTTATTTCAGTTCATTTTAATTTTAGTTAGATTTACTTGTGTGTTTTTGTTTTTTTTATTAGTTTTTGTTGTCTATATATTTTTATTTTTTTAAGTTTTAGTTTGAGTTATTTTAGTACATCAAGTTAAACTAAATGAAAAGCAGAAATGTTGCCTTGGCAACTAGCTGAAATAAAAAAGTTTTTATAGTGTTTTTAAAGTGTTTTATATTTTAATTTATGTCAGTTAAAGGTTATTTTATTTCAAGGAGCAAAACAGTTTTTATGGTTTTAGTTTTATTTCATTATAATAACCTGATAGCATTGCAAAATTATCTTAGTAGATAAATGAGAATTCATATTGACAAGTCTGTGTCACACAGTTGTGAAAATTGCTTGCTAACCACATGTGCATATGCTTCTATACAAAAACAAACAAAAACAAAAATTAAGCTTTAACTGGAAACAATGAATGCATAAATCATTTGTACAGCATGAGGCCCAGTGTGTGTGTGTGTGTGTGTGTGCGCCGGCCAATGAGATTGCAGTTTGTGCATTAGTTCCGCCCACTACCGAAGAAACCGAAGTGGCTTGTGCTTGTTCTCAAAGGCTGAATAATTCCAAATAAACTCCACTATTTTGACAGGAAAATACAACAAGGAATATACAGTCATTTATGCTGCGCTGTGCATCCTTTGAGATTAATTAAAATAGTGCGCTTTAAAGACAGACAGCGAAACTCTCAAGTGCGCAGTTTTCATAATGAGTGAAGGCAAGTGAATTATCAGTGTTAAACTTATACTTAGCCTCTAACTCAAACACTGGCGAGTGAAATCTAACAATTTATTAGGCAATAGCTAACGATAGACATTATTTGGTTGCCTAGCATGGAAATTTAGTCGCATATGCTAGTGATTTACTCACATTGGGTTGACACGCTACCCAGAATCTCTCAAATACAAAAAAATTATTCTCCTATAACACTTTCTCTGCTCTCATCTCAAACAGACTCCACAACATGTATTGTGTGTGTGTGTGTGTGTGTGTGTGTGTTCACACACATTCCCATTCCCCAGGAGAACTCGCTTTGCTCTTGCTCTAGTTGAAGTTTGCCCCAGTTTCAGCTCTCATTGCTTGTGCTGGAAAATGTTGTGTGTGTGTGTGTGTTTGCATTTCTACAGATAAAAACACTTCATCTGCTGTTGATTCTTTGACTTCTCAGATTGGTGGAACTGTTTTAGGATGATATGTAGTAAGAATTTTTGTACAAAAATGTCCATCACACTGGTCCATTTCATCATTTACATTGGTGGCCAAAATGATTAGAACACTAGTATTTTCAGCAGCTAAAAAATGGTTTTAAGTCTGTTATTTCTATATTTTGCTGTAGTGTGTCAGTAGTAGGGGTTGAACGACTTCAGATTTTTTAAAGTCGACTTTTATGTGATGAAAGTCAAGTCGAAGTCGACTAGTCGCTGATGACGTCATTAATGAACAAATAAGTCTGGAGCTGTGACAAACACCTTGTGCACATTTCTACAGATAAAAACACTTCATCTGCTGTTGATTCTTTGACTTCTCAGATTGGTGGAACTGTTTTAGGATGATATGTAGTAAGAATTTTTGTACAAAAATGTCCATCACACTGGTCCATTTCATCATTTACATTGGTGGCCAAAATGATTAGAACACTAGTATTTTCAGCAGCTAAAAAATGGTTTTAAGTCTTTGCGTTTAAAGCAGCTTTTGATGAGGATCAGATCAGATCTCTGTGTGGAGCTCTGGCTGCTGTCAGACAAATATCTCACTGGATTATAACAATTAATGGCAAAATGAATGTTTGGAAATGTAAACTGATATTTCCTACTGACACACTA